TGTAAGGAGTGAGGATAGGATATGGAAGAGGAAGGAAAAGTCTTACTCGGTCCGTGGCCCATTTGTTAAGGTACTGTTCCGGCATTCGCCTGATGTTGATCGGAAAACAACCGATCAGAGTGATGGCTGGCAGCCCATTCCAAGAGAAACTCTAAGCACCCTGCTCTCCCGATACATTTTATATGTGGTAGTGTAGTGCGCATGTGTATAAATAAGGGGAGGGGAGAGGTCAAGAAAGAGAAAGGAGACGTACATACTGCCACACAAGTACATATGTCTAGAAATATGTACTTACTTGTGTTGTAGTATTATGGAGTGATTGGCATGTTTTCAGTTAGGAAGTTAGAAATGATGAAATATTTATGTTCAAGTTGGTTATCTAAGGGTTTAGTGTAGCTGATAAAGGGAAAAATCATATTCCCGAAACCTTGCAAAAGCACAATTTGTATATTAAATGACAGACTGATGGTCTAATAAAAAATCAAGGACATTATGAATTTATAAATTGTTTCAAATATTGAAGCAATATGTTCCATACGGTGAAATAAACACACAGACAATTTCCCAATGACAATCAGACTAAAATGAATATTGTAAGATATGATACAAATTATATCGAAAAACGGATGAGAATACGAATTAAGTCAACAAAATGAGATGTAAAGGGTATTACATTCATATGAACTCGCGCAGTTTACTTTGCTTGCAATTGCAGATTTTTACAAGTAAATAATGTTACAAGTAAATTGAGTTTTAACGCAAACTTTTCATTCATTTTACCTGCATAAATACATTGGTATGATGTGAAGTTCCATTTGGCGGAATGACAAGTATAATAGAGAGTAAAACCGCATAAGCACATCTAACCAACGGTTTTGAAATAAATCTGAATAATTTCTACGTGTTAATCATCGACCACATTCCCCTCACTTGCATCAATGTGTCAAAGAAATCTCCCACTCGACTCAAAAGCAATCTCCCACTCCAACTGACTTCAAGAGCATGAAGATGGCTCATTAATAATGTTTGATGACAAGAAATATTCGGTTCTATGTAAAGGAAACTATTTGCATCGGGAAAGAACAAAATATCTCATTTGATAATATGATTACTGCCAACATATGACTGTCTCATACTCCCCCACTTCTACGCCATCCAGTAAAATGAGATCTCAAAAATATGTTTAACAGCTAATAGTGTTCCCCAACCTTTAGTAATGGCGGTACACTTGGCCTCGATCTTCACATCTCATGATACCCTCGAGAAAAACACCCGTTTCTTTTGAAAAGTATGACAGCTCTGACACGCTCCCAATTTTAAAGAAACTTTTTATATTGTTCTTTTCAGAAAAACACTTACAGGGTTTGTTTGCCTCCAAGGACTTGAAGAGAACTTTAAAATGTACATTGTTAACGTTAATCACAGCGAAAAACTATTTCGCCACTGCAGAGACAGAATTTTCATGGGGGGGGGCATGTATGTAGTATTCAATTGACTTGATTCTACCTAAATCATATCATTCTTATTTTTAAATTTAAAATATTTGCAATTGAGGATTTGTGTCATCGGCCTCGTTTCGGGGTTGAAGTTTCATGGCTTCGCCCACCCATCCAACAGGCTCGCGGTGCACCACTGTAATATATGACTATCTTTCCCCTTCGGTAAGTCCTGAATTGTTGATTTCAATGCTCAAACTTCAAAATATCTAAATAATGGATTTTTCAACGTCTGTGGTTCACATTCATATATCATGCTTCAAGTCCTTCCTATAATGCTGAATTATTTTCCTATTTCTCGCGACATTCTTATATACATCACGGAATCTCACGATATCATGCAACTACGGTTAGGAATCATTGCTGGTTTATTCATTTGTTTTAGAAATGACCGACAAAAGTAATATTAGCTTACTTTATATATGGTATATTCACAAAAAACGTCACTCCGAAAATGCACACTCGAGTTGCTAAGTATTTAATGTTCAAAACAACACATCGTGCAAAAGATGTGAATAATTTCGTCCCGCTTCATATTAAAAGTTTAAAAATATATTGCGTTGGTTTTGTTTGTCCTTTAATATGAAAAGCAAACACAATATTGTTTTTTCCTTTTCTCGTACGATTCCACAACTAAAATTTCCAGCGTATAGCTGGAGGTGATGGGAATATGAATGTCAAAATCTCTGAGTGTTACTGCTTACAAGAGAGTGGAAGTACAGAGAGCGTAATATTTTTTAACATTACATGATAATCCCATTACATGATAACCAGATACCTCTCTGACGCCGTCTCAATAACACGACGCTATCATGCCAACATTATTTTGAATATTTCAACGTCAATCATAAAGAGAGTGATAACAAACAATTTCACACGAGATATATGAACAATAACACTAGAATGAATAATGACAAATAACAATAATTCTGTATAAATGAAGATATTAACGTTAATGCTATGCAACTCATGTGAAAATTTCCAGGTGTTTTAGTTTTGCGGTTACTCTGACAGCATTAGTTTGTTATTTGAAAATTGCTGAGTATACAATATTCACTGACACGTGTACTAAAGGTACTCCAGATTTACGTATTTGTATAGCATAAAAAATAAAGATAAAAAAGAAAAGATTCTATTTATTCCTATCACAAACAAGAATAAATGTAATTATCCAGACTTTTTGTATATGATTACCTTTTTGGCTGCTACTTTCTTTTTCTTTCCAACATCTTCCAATTGGTATAATTATTCATCTAGGCTCAAGTTCATGTGTGTGTTACTAGGATTGCTTCATATTGACACTATTTCCTGGAATAAAATATTCGTTAGAACGGCAATGTTCGATGATTCTGCTAGAATTAATTGTATGTGAAAATATTAGATCGATAGGGATGTTATTATTCCTATATTTTGCCTTATGACGTATTTACGTAGTAAAGAGAAAGTATGGAAATGCTGCGTCTGAAATCAGCGAAGGACCCAGGATTCGAGAAACTGGATAAGTATTGTTCCTTTATGTAGCAAATTACTTTCTTTATCAAATTGTATAGTCAGAATTCACATGTTGTGGTTCCTTGATAAAAGAAAAATTGATTGACGCAAAAAATTTTGTATTTGCTTGCCTGTCTGTCTGTGGTCGTTACTGCGCTTAAATCTTTACACGATTTTCTCAAAACGAGATATATTCCTTTATTGATCCGGACGAACTCGACGCTCTGGGAGTTCGAAAGGAATATTTGAATTTCTGAGAATACCTCACATGAAGCCTTTACAACATTTCCAAAATTTTTGCAAAACTGACTCAAATTTTTTGGATAATTCTTTTTCCATGAAAGTCGCAAAAAATAATGAAGTCTTACCTTCATTGAAATCTGAATTTTCGAAACTTATGGAAGTTGGAAACGATGCGAAGAAGTATACGATATTATTGCATCAAAGTTTTTTAAAATTTAATTTTATATCTCTTTTGCACCTGAATTTACATTATTATTTCAGACAAATATTAGTCATAATGAATATTTAAAAAACTTTTATATGTGACAAAAAATCAATAAGAATGAAAAAAATTGTAGTAACTCACATAAATACCAATGATAGATATACACTTCAAAGAATATAGTCTAAACAATTTTTTAGCTGACTTCTAAAATTAAGTTTCACTACTGCGCCTTTTGCATATTCCTCAAGGCATTCAGTATCACGACTATTCTAAATATTGCATTCATTTTCTCCGAAAACTGAGCTCTTTATCCTGTTCAATCGATTGAAAAAGAATTCCAATTATAACAACGAATTTATAAGAATTCTCATTTACGAACTTCAAATCTTTTGTTTAACTTCCTTATTCTAAATTATATTAATATATGGTGGAATGGGCTTATCCTTTATTTGCTGTTTTATTAACTGTAATAAAATGTGTTGGGAATTTAATAAATCATCTGCCAAACTAATATACGTGAGACAAAATATATGTGAATGAAAGTAAAATGGCGTTATAAAACGATTGATAATTCTCAGTTTAATGCCAATATATTAGAACAGTCTTAAAAATATGGAGGTGCACATTTAATTTGCATATTCAAACATATCTATCTTGTGTGTTAGATGATAAGTTTAAAATGTTATATTCAAACACTTTTCTTTTCAAAAGTAATAGCAAAAGTAATAGGAAATTAGTACGGAAAGTGGGTTTGCCGTAAACATGAAATGTTGGTACATTTTGAAATAAATACTACAAAGACAGTTTCGTACAAGTGGTGTACTTTTTTTTTTTAGCACGTATTGATGGAAATTTACAAACACGTACTCTTGGAATCATTTTTAGTATGCCAGCCGGCAGCCCCACTTTTGTTTACTTTGCAGTACCCTGTTGTTTTATATGGCCGTGACGTTCCAACGGTAAGCGTGCAGCAAAGTAACACTTTTTAAAACAAATAAGGAGTGAAGGTAAGTATGCATGATTGATTAATACTAAATATTTGCCCAAGAGTTTCATAATGCCGAAATTAAGTTGTGGGATACTAAAAATTATCGGTTTCTGGGCTGGGCTGGAAGAAATGGTTTTTTATTATTATTTTTTAATACATCTTTTCCAGTGAGATATATTTTTATTGCAACGACAGGGATGTAAAATGTCGCCTGACTGTTAGGAGGTCAGTCGTAGCAAGCTCAGCCTTCAAAACCTCACCCCATTTCCAACCCTCTTCTGATGATCTGAAGGTCGTTCGAGCCAATCACCGGAACGCCGGTCCCCGGTTTCGTGAATCACCAGCATTCTCCACACAGCGGAGCTGAATTTATCTCCCGTCAAGCACAGCCTGTCTCCCCCTTCCTTCCCCATCACAGCAAAGAGCGTATCCCAAGGCATTCATTATCCAGGCATCCGACCCAAACGAAAACAAACCGACCGGGGCGCGCTCAGCGCTCCAGGCACAAGCTAGATCCCTTCCCTCACGGCCGCTCGGAAGGACCTCGCGAGCGCTAGATCCTTGCCCCTCCGGCGGCATGGCTTTCGCGAACGCGCGCGCGCGGCGGTGCTGGCCCCTGGCGGCGGGCTTCGACAGTCCACGCGCGGGCCTCCTGGACGCGGCCAGTCTTGCGCTGTGTGTCGGTGCGGGAGGCCGTGTGTCGCTCGGTGCGCTGAGGTGGAAGTTGACAGACAGGAGAGTTGACGCCGCAGCAGCTCGACGAAGCACCGAGCGGAACGGAGCGGATTACCCTGACGCAGGTGAGTGGTCGGTGCTTCCAGACGTGACAGTCGCCGTGCACGACCGACAGCAGTACGGGCGAGACGTGTTTTATTTTTTTTTTTTTCGCGCGGCGTTTGCCGCGATGGCAGCGGCTGCGCTGGACCGCGCACGAACAAAGCTTCTCCCGGCGCCGCTCCCTCCCGCAGGGAAGAGAAGTAGGCAGCGGGTTTTCCGCACCCGTTGGCTACCTGCGCTCGCGGCGGCGTCCTTGGGGAACGCCTGCCCGACCGCGTGTGCGCCGCCGCTGGGGGGTCGACGCCCGCGGGGGCCGGCGAGGGGCGGGCGGTCAGCGCAGCACGCCCCCCTGGTGAGGACTTCGACGTCCCCGTCCCGCCACGGCCCCGCCGCCCGCTCGTGGGAAGCCCCAAACGAGGCTTGGTGGGGTGTGGGAGGCGTTTCGACGCTGTCGATTGCTTGTTAAACGGTGTCATAAAATGTCAGTGGTGTGTGACCGTTTGTGGGCGGTTTCTCGATCGTGAAATTGGGGTGGCAACGGCGCCAAGTAGCCGGCGAACATGCGAGTGTGCTTCTCTGTGAATGCGTCTAAAGAATAATGAAGGTGCGCATTGCGCTTGTAAACACTCGCGCATCCATTAATATTTATTAGCGTCTCTTAAAATCGGTCATCGTAAATGTCATACAATACGCATGTGTGAATTTATAATCGTCATATCACGTGTTGTGTTCGAATTTCAATTGAAGGTAGTGAAGAAGGTATTCGTAATGTTTTATTTTTCTTCTGTTTGTCACGAAATAGCAATGTGTAGAAACGCGTATGCTATGAGTCAACTTAAATTTTTTTTGCGGTTAAAAGAACAACCAATAATCTGGCGTTTAATCAGCACTTTTGAGTATCCGACACCAGTTAAAATTATATTATTAACAGTTACAACAGTTTTTTGATAAATGTGGCCTTACGTTATTCGCCTCCATATTAAGATCTGGGAGAATCTTCCAACACAGACGTATTTTAATACTTCATGATGATGAAGAGCGATTATAAATGATGTTTTATGTATTTTATATGTTCTAATAATTTCTTTCATTGCGTTAAAAATTCCAATCAGTTATGTAATCTTAGTTATTGGCAAGTACAGAATGAAACTACGTTATCCAAAGAGTTCGATATTTTAACAGCGATACACATTAAACGATGTTGACAGTGAATGTTGCCAGTTTGAGCCAAGTCAGTGCCGTGGCGAACAGTGCGTAGTTAGTGAAGTGCGAATGAATGGGAAGAATGAATGCTTATGTATATAATGAAACGAGTATGAATGATGTGTGAAAGTAATGAAAAAGAAGAAAACCTCGCCCGTAAATTAACAAACTCTGTAGAATTATAGTATCAACAAAACCGATCTTAGTGTGTTAGTAATGCCAAAGTGCAAGTAAGTTAACTTTAGGGCTAGTATGTAAAACTTAGCTGTAAGAAAAAGCCCCTCCTCTAGCTGCTTAAGCCGCAAGGCAGCAGTTAATTGTTAATAATTTAAAGGAAATCAATTCCCTTTCTCTACAGGGTTACTGTGGAGGGGACAAAGAGAAAAATGTTGACAGTGTCTCAATACGTTCACATTAAAAATATTGTTGTATATTTAAAAATAGAAGCATGAAATGTCGTTAGTTTCTAAAATGGCATAAGACATCGGGAGCAAATTGATGGAGCTCTTCAATGAACGTTCGACGTATGGTATACGTGTTTTTGTATTCATTAGAATTGTTTAATTTCACGTTAACAAGTTGGAGGGATCACACACATTGGGCAATTTAACAGAAATGGGTCGAAGACTTGCTGATCCTTTATATTAATTATGATTACTAGAGTTTAAAAATTAAGAGGGGTGAAATACGATACTCTGTGGGGATGTAAGATTTTAGGAGCAAGCAGATGGGATGGTCTACTCGCATGCCTTTCTTAAAAATAAAATGGACGCAAATTTCCTCATAAATATTTCAAAGGAATCTGATAATTTAAAAATACGTTTTGTAAGTGGGAATTTTCGTTAATGAGCTTCAGGATGTAAGACTGCAGATGCGGCCCGACAGGGTTGCTCCCCCCACGCCGCGCCCTTGCAGCAAAGGTCGTGTGTGGAGGGTGGCGCGCTGGGTTGGAGGGTGCTGGCAATGCGTGGCGGTAGCGGCGGCGGCGGGGCAGTGATGGCGGTGGCGGGCCGCCGGCCTTCGGGCGGGATATAACAGGACCGGCCGCGGCGCTAACGGTGCCTGGAGGTCAGGCGGTGGCCGCTCTCTGCATCTGGCGGCCGGCGCCGCAGCATTCCTGCGCCCGAGGCCCAGGGGCGCCGCTGGACGGCGGGCCGATTCATGCGTATGGTGGCAAGGGTGGGATAGTGAATGCTATAGAGTGGGCGGGAAATGGAAATGGGAAGGGGGCGCGGGCGGGGTCGCAGACGTTGGGTCAGATGGCGTCGGACTCGGGTCGATTGATGGGGGGCAACGGGGTTGTCGACGGTGGACCACTGGATGGCGACCATGGACGGTAGCAAGCTATAGAGGCCCCGCAGCGGTGTGTACGCCTGGTTACTGGTGATGAATGGGAGACTTAGGGTGATAAAGAATAGACTCGGTAATAGTGGTCGATTGAGAAGTGGGTGGGGGAAACGATGGGCAGTGATTTGGAAGGGTTGTGTTGTCTGAAAACGCGGAATGGACAGTCGCTATGGCAAGAACGGAGAGCTGCTCTTAGAACGTGTCTAGGAGAATTAGTCCCCTTCTCCTTTAATTGTGACGCCTGCTGCGATTAGCAGGTTCGTGCAGAATTGATTGCGTAATAAAGTTACCTATATTTTAAGTAAATTATGCCTGATTATTCTGGTGTGACCGGAAAGTTTCCACTGGCTGGCTCAACATGGTTATGATGTCCTTATCAACAGTTTGATACTCTTTTCGGATGCATATGAACGGCTGAATCAGATTAATATTTAATTCGAAGTAATTTGGTAGTCAGGTCATCATTTGTTGTGATTGCAGTTGTCAATAAGGTGATATTCTTAAGTGAATGATTTAACAGGGGAGTGAATTAAAGCTAAATTAGGAAACGTGCTTCGTGAGATAATTCGAAAACCTACATTGCTTCTAATGATTGCGAGTTTTCAAACTCTATATGGCATCTGAAAACTATGAACATTAGCTTCAATAGAATTAATAATCTCGAAAATTCGTCTTTAGACTACAGTAAAATATCTCCACAATGCTTCAAGACTGCATTAGCGGCAGTAAAATAGCAGACCATTCAGTGGACTAAAAGAGAATGCAGAAATTGCGCGTAGGCAATTCGTTGCCCTGACGCCGACACTTTATTGGAAGTGTCAGGTAGCAATACCCTGTAGGGAAAAGTTTCTGGAAGCATTCGCAGAAAACGTACGCACTCCTATTTCCATTGTCTCTACGACAAGGCAGACATGCGATTATTGCAGGAACGTCCGTGCGAATATATTCCGAATTGATTTCCTGTTTTATCAACTTGCTGGGAAATTATTCAAGGAAGTTAAATATATATATATATATATATATATATATATATATATATATATATATATATTAGTTCATAAGAGTATATTTTTTGTGGGGAACTACCTTGAAATTATTTCAAACATTTGGGACACTGGGTAAACTATATTTTTTAAGAGATCTTACTCAGCAGTCTGACGTAACTTACTCGAGATTTGTGAAATTGAGAGGAAGGGCGCCGTACCCGAGAGAACACAGCGTTTTATATTATTTAAATATTAAACTTCCACCGTTCCAAGGTAAAGCATCAAACCTAAATATTTTTTGAATGAGTGAACATTGATTCCGCCCGCGATAAGTACTAGTCATTTGAGCCGTAAATGTGGTTCTTCTTATATCTCGGAAGATTGTGGGAACTTAAGATCAAGTTACTCCCAACATATAGTTTTGCAGGGTTTTCCTCTTCGCCCCAGGGAAGACCTGTAAGCTTTCTACTGGGTAGTGAATTGTGCATGTACGTGTGTGTGTGTGTGTAAGAGCAGAGAGCAGTGAAGTATGGGGAAGAAAAGATCGTACGCGGTGCGTGGCCCGTTTGTTAGGGTCCTGCTTCGGCTCCAAGTAGTATTGATCGAAGTAACCACGTGAAAATACCGATCAGAGCAGCTGGCTATTGATACATTGATACAAGAGAATTCAGCGGCTGACCCTCATTCATGACAGAGCAAGCGTGGACCACCGCGCGTCTGCAGGGCGCTAGGCGGGGGCGCAGGGCGGTGCAGTGCTGTGCGGGGCGGGGCGCCGTGGAGGAGATGCAGGGCTGCCACGTGCGGGGCGTATTGACCGGAGCGCCCTGCGCCTCGCCCCCGCCGCAACGCGCCGCCGTACGCGCCCTCGCGTACTACGCAGCTCCGCGCCCGCGCCCGCGCCCGCCCCCGCCCTGCGGATGCTGTGGGCCGGTGAGAGGAGAGGGATCAGACGTCCGCAGCGCGGGGCGGAGCCAACGGTGCAACGCTGCTCGGCCCCGCCCCTGGTCGCACCTCGGCTGTTTTACCTTCGGCATCACCCTCCCTTCTAACACCCCCTCCCGGATCACGTTCTCGTCGTTCTCAAATGTTTACGTTCTCGCAAATGCTCGCTGCCCGCTCTTGAAATACTTTGCAGTTTCGGCCGTTTCCACTTGCCCTGGGCCAGCTCTTGTCCCTATTCGCCCCTGTTCCTGTCTCAGCCATGTTCCCGCCCTTTTCCTGGCTGCACCTGTTCTTGTCTCAGTTCGCCCCTGTTTCTATCTGGTCTTTCCCTTATTGCTCTGCCTAATTTTCTTATGTGGCTCTCCATTTAGAACTCATATTTAACCAACCTCTCACACTTCACCATTTACTTTTCACAGGAGTAATTGCACCTTCCTCCTTACTTCTGTGAATAAACATAGAGAAATGTATTTTGCCGCTATGAGAAAAATATAGGGATAAGAAATAGATGTGAGAAGTACGACGTTTAAACATTTTGAAATCGAAAATAAGTTTGTAGTGACCATCTCAAAAAAAAGTAAGAAATATTAAGGTTTCGAAAAGTCTGTTTGTGATTCGTAAAATTAGAATTTTACAACACATTGTTGGTCTGGTTTTGATATCCCTTAATGAACTCTGGATGCTACGACTTATTTACTTTCATGAAGTATTTGGGGTGTTTATTATCAAGATTTCCTCATTATCTAATTTCACTTTGCCAATATTCCTTTTTTGTGTGTTTTACGAATCTTAGGAGAGCATTGAAAACGTAGCGAAGGGATATTGGATATGTTATAATAGGTTCAAACTACCTAAAATATTCCCACCTAAAATATTTAGAGAACATACCTCGTTCTCATCAAACCGCATCTACATATGAGAGAAAATGTTTGCCCGTATTTAAAATTACCGCAAATGGAATGAACAAATGGAAATGGAAATTTCCATGGGAAAAATATGGAAATTTGAACGGGAGTTTGTGTTAAGCACGTCCATCTAATATCGAATACTACGAACTGAAGCTTCTTTCTTCGGCAACTCCAACTCTCTCCGGGGACTCGCCTGCAGGGCCCGTTTCTGAAAGGTCTGATAGTGGGGCGTGGCCATACAACGCTGTCAGGTTGGAGGTTTGAACATAATGTGAAATTAATTTTTAGGTTTCTTTCGCAATTTGCCCCTAGACAGTGTGAGTTCTAATTTTCTAGGTAAAGGATATGCATTATTAATGGTTAGTAAGTATTGGAATCTTCTTTCTGCCTTTGGGCGATTGTATTGCGTCCTTGAAAACAGAGAAGGACGTTTGCCTCCGGCCGAAACTACAGGAAAGAGAATTTCACCTGGAGCCGTATATGTATTATGACAAGATCTGACGTCCGCTCGCATGATTAAAACATATTTGCGTTAAGGCGAATGTTCAGTATTCAGAAAAAACTGACATGCAGAAATGTGAGAGTAATCTTGATTTTGTACTTTGATGAATATTTGAGAAGTAAAAATAATCAATGGACGAACTTATATTTTATGTTGTTTGTTTTTTAATTACGACAATTTTATGAAAATTACGGATAGGTGATCACAAATTTTAAAGTTTTATCATCATAGAAATCTCTAGTTTTCACAAAAATTCCTGGAGATTTTTTCCCTTCCACAACTCCGCAAATTCCTCTCGAGTATGCAAAATTCTTTGCATCTTCTTGTACCTATGACGTTTCTGCGCAGAAGGAACGACAAGGTCAAACATGTTGGCTGCATGGCTGGGCGTGCAGTAGCGGCTGCCTCCAAACACGAATCCGTGTGCTGGCCATTCGGCAGGCGACTGAAAGGAAGGACGCCGCGACCTTAGGCAAGTTTGCCAGCACTCACGTCCGTCTTTTCCAGGGAAAGTCGAACACTTCGCCGCCAGTCTAACGTAGACAGTGATGGGCACAACAAAAAATATTGATGTGCTTGGAAGTAAATTGAAGGGGATTATCTCTTTTTGCGAAAATGAAGGCTGGAGAGATTCCTAATCAAATTTCACCGGGAATAATTTTTACCAATTATATCCTCCAAAGGATGAAATTCATAAAAATTATTAGACTCGTGTATCGGATATCCACAGTGTGAATGTGGAAGCTGCCGTTTTCCCGTGTTTAAAGGCTTCGCAAAGTTTTGAACGTAAATGTATACCTGTCTGTACCAATCTACTCTTACCATAAAGTTTTCGTACTTCTGTAAAAATGTCTCTTAACGTCTTTATTTTTATATCTTGAGACTTTTTACGATTTTGATTATTTTGGGAAATAGAACTACTTATTGCAAGTGAACCACTTGTATACATATCATCATAGCCAGTCATGCGCTTGGTATATTTTCGAGATTATTTAAAGGATCGTGCCACGTCGTTATGTGCACAAAAGAAGCCCCATCAAGTTTTCACCTACTGAAGAAATATCTTCTGCGACTAATGTCTGGTGGGCCGTTGGTCACGTACGTATCTCGAGCGTGCCCCAACATTTCGTATTCGAAGGTCGTGTAACTCGAGTGCCCTGGAAGGAATGCAAGGAGCGGGGGCGAAGCGGTGAAGCACGGGCGGGGAGGCGCTTCTCTTCCAAGGCTAATACGCCCACCCCCGCCTCCTCCGTCGCCCCCCTCCTTCGCCTCCATCACCTCCACAGCTTCCACCGGCGTCTGGAATCCGCTGCAACCGCAGTCGCTGGTTCCAGCTCCGCCCCGCGCCGCTCCCCACGCCGCTCTCCGCGCGCTCACTCGCGAACTCCGCCGCGCCTGGGGAAAGTCGCCGGTCCAGGTGCGTGAGAGAACGCAGACGAGAACCACTTCGCCGACCATCTCGATGCCGGGGCCGCGGATGCCGTCGCTGCCATCAGAACCACGCCTCCCGCCCGGGATTCCGGCCATTTGCAAACAGCTAGGATAAATGAAATTAAACCCGGTTATTTCCCATTGCGAGTTATTTGTAACCACTCTTTCTCATTTTAATTATATAAATAACGACTTTTACAATTAATAATAATATTAATAATTGGAATAATATATTTCCAGAGTCTATATTTTGAGAAAACTATTGTAGAGGCATCCACTGTCGCTAAATCTGCCTTTAGGAAGCAGGTTGCCACCTGGAGTAATTTTATATTTACCAGGCCCTTAACATCTTCACTTGTGAATTTACTTGGGGGTTTGATGGAAGATGTCATATTGGGTTTGACTTTGACTTCCATTATGCTATCACGAGATCGAAAACTTGCGCAGAATTCGATCCCACAGCCTTGTCGCTGAGAGGTATATTTTTATAGTCAAGAATTACGTTCTGGAATATAAATGGAAATTGTCTGCACACATATAATATTTTATACAGAATTAAGTCTTTCGAATGGGAATTGTTCGCTAATATTTGAGTAGGAATGGATATTAATTTGCTCTGTTTCGTAAGTAAAAGTGAGTATAGTATTGCTAATTTCTCCTTGCAGTTCTCAGTTATGTCAATACCATTAAGCCATTCTAGTTCTCGGGTTACTCAATAACATTGCTTTTTTAATCTAATGGTGCAGGGTCGGAGAAGGGGAAATCAGTTAGTTTTAGCCGATGCAATTATTTCTCGCTTGCTATGGGTCTGTAAATTAATTGTGTGTGCTTTGGTGATTTCTCAGCCTCCATGAATAAGTGAATGTACCGAGCAATATAAATAGTCAATCCAATAGGCATCCAATTCATTAGCATCCAATCAATAGGCATCCAATTCATTAGCAAGGTTTTTTAATGGACGAGATTCATGGCTAAGAAGATCGACTGGAGAGACTATCGTATTAACTACTTTAAATAATTGTGTAAATGTAACTTCACATTGAATTTCGTGCGTGTACGTTTAATACCAATAAAACGTTCGTACTCTTGCAAAAAATTGAGCCAACCTATGCCAGCCCAGCCACGTGTAAGACTATGAATATGTAGAAATTTCACTGGTCTAAAAGTTACCCGGAAGCATGGAGTTCTTAATAAAGGACCTACTAGATGAGAGAATTGAATGCTTGAGTATTCACTCGTGAAACTATGAAGTATGTGATAAATCGACAGCACAGCATTTCTCACGTAGAGAATTTTCATCTCGTTTGTCTTCTCTTCGCTCTACAGACCGTCAACACATTGGCGAGTTGAGGGCTGTTGCGAGAACGGATGCGGCAACGGTCAACCACTGATGCAGGCGATTGGCGCACTTATACTGCGATTTTCGCTTCTCTGCTCCTGGCATGTATGAGCTGTTGACAGTTTCACTCAATCGGGAGCTTGAACAACACCCAGTGACGTCACTATGGTGACGTGCAATCTCCCGATTGAGTGAAATCGTAAGCAATTGATACCTGCCAGGGGCAGAATTGCATAAATCGCAGTATATGCTTGAAGAAAAATCGCGTAGCGGCATACACTGAAACACGCAGGGGAAAAGCCCTGCGGCTGCCCGTAGTTACGGAGCGATAACAACTATGAAAAAAATTAACGCATTAAGTGGAAGTTGTTTTTATACGCGGCTCATCTGCCTTACATAATATAGCAACGAACACCCTTGTGCCAGATTGTCCGGGTCTCCACCCACGCCGCTTCCATTAAACTGCACCGTATCGCGACCGTCCTCGGCGCCAGAGATCGCCGCAGTGAAAGAAATTGGTCCCGGAATGAAACAAGAAGTCTAGGACTCTTCCAACACTCAGCTAATGGTGCGATAAGATTTAATTCGTTTTAATGATAATGCGAAAATATTTTTGCTTGACAGTTTCGTGACAAATTAAATTAATAGTTATTGAAAAATTTTACGGCGGGAAATTTCCCTCATTTTCCCCCCTCCTTGATCAGCGCCTGAAGAAATGCAGAAATTTCTGAAAGTAGTGCTCGATCCTGGCCGACCGCTCTTCGCGGCCTCGCGGCGCGCCAGCCACTGCGCTCACGGCCGCGGGGCCCCGTTGCGTCAGAGGCAACGCGACCGACGCCGGCTGCATCCCACCGCGCGACCCCTTAACCTTTGGGCGGAGGTGGGGGACGGGGACTCTGCGCCGGTATGCGCGCCTGCGGGGCTCCGGCGCCCCCTATCGCAGCGGCGCTTACGTACGCGCGCTGCTGACCGGCCCCCTCGCCCCGGCCGGACCCGAGCGTTGGGGTGGCGCGGCGTACGTCACCCGCAGGTGACGCGCGCGGCTGGCGATGGCCTCGGAATCGCCCTTGTGGCACGCCAGGTGCGAGGGGATTGTAGGGAGAGGGAAAGAGAGCACACGTGTCTATTTGTTCGCGTATAAATGTTTTATAAAATATTTATATAATAAAAAATAATAATAATAAAAATAATAAAAATAAATAAAAATAATAATGAAAAGGTCTGCGAAATGCATGATATAGTATTATTGGGAACGGACCATATTTTGCATTGTAGAATCACCCAATCAGTAAATTTGTTTGTTGGGAAGCTGGTTGCAACCTGGAGTAGATTTTATATTTAATCCTCACCTATCATATTTAGATATGACTTTAGGAGATCATGATGACGATGGTTCTGGTTAATTAACATTGTGTGTTCGGGTCGCCAACTCAGAACCACCGGAGGCTGTGGGGGCACCCGCTCTTTACTACGGTTGAAGGATCAAATTCTGAGTAAAGAAATATTTCTCGCGCATTTCATTATCCACAGCTGTGTTTCTGACGGCCCGCTTCGGAAATTGCAACATTAGAGGACACTGTAGGTGGTCGGAGTAGTCAACATGAAGGATTTGCCACACCGGACGAGCGCAATCGGAAACAATTCGGGTGATTATGACGTATTTTACGAACGAGGAGCGCTTGCATACTCTTCTCCATCCGTTCTCTCTCACTATACTTGCAATTGACGTACGACGACGCTGGTTGTTAGGCCAATACCGTAGTTCAATGTGTGCAGGGTTGCCAATGACTCCACTGAATACTCTCATGGTTGATTGTATTCGGAATGTATTTGCAAGTAATGCAAGCATAAATATTATTTCTCAGTCATTCTGTAATCAGTGACCTAAAAACTATCGATTTACACATTTTCCAGTAATAAGCCTTGTATGGTAGTGTATGCTTTTGTGTCATTTTTTAAGCAGTATTCTTTGGGGGATTATGTATCACGCAGTAATATTTTTTTGGATCTGTAACAGCTACACCGATTGGCATTACCCCAGTATGTGTGAAAATCGATGCAAAATAATGGCGGTTTACCCGTCAGTCAGAACAGTCTGCCCTCATAAATTCTGGTGCAGCTGTCGCCGATGCTTCTCCCCTTCAGAAGTCCAGGTGTGATGGATGCGTGTTCTGTGGGGTTCACGCGTTACCTGGAGTTGAGAACGGTCACAAACTACCAGACAATTCGGCGAAGAGTAGCCCAATGATGGCCCTCTAATGAGATTGTAAAGTAAATGCTTTGAGCGAAATTGTGTTTAGAAATGTTTATCGTGAACTGTGGGTTAAGTGCAAAACAAGAAAAGGTTTCAAATACCTTCTTAGAAAAGGAATCTACATATTGTGACGTCATGGATACTCACAGCGACCACAGACACAGAGCTTTCGTAATAAAATATATTTATTAACAAGGAAACAAACAAATATATACACTTTAATAATCTACTTAAACCCTAGCTCTGATAGATCCTACTATCCACCTGAATCGCGGAGCGATCCTAAAACCCCGATTGAAGATGGTTTTGATTGTGGGATCGCCAATCCTAATTTTGAAGCGGCGCACAAAGCCTCAAGATTCCGGTGACCGGATGTCACGGCTGGGACAGCAAAGTCCGTTCTGGCGCACCAAACGGCTGGTTTGCCTCGATCGCAGGAGGATCTATCTCGAATTGAGATCGGGCGTGAATCGGTGGCACTCCAAAACCACGTTCTCCACTCGGCACGGCACGCCAACACAGCATCGCTCCACCGTGACACGCAAGTCACCCACAAGCATGAAGTCCGCAGGCTTCCGGCAACCTAATGACTCCCAGCCTCGCGGAGCCTGGCTCGCATATGCACCGTCTTGGCGGCCAAGTTTGTTGCACACGCCACGAGGTCTCCCCACCGTCTTCCAGAACCCCCTACTGAGCCTCCGTACACCTCTGTTATATAGGCGAGGCCCACGTGACCTCTCTACGTCCCGCCACCCCCCGCTTGTTTAATAACAATGAAAAAGCTTCTATTAGCCGGAAGGACAACCCAAAAGCCCTTGTGTCTCCCGTTTCCCGCGGTTCTTCCCTTACCGGAAAACCCTTCTTCCTGTGGCGAGACTAATTCCGCAACCAAGCGTCCCCAAATAGATGCCATGAGGCACGCTGGCTAATACGTTACAATATTATGTTGGAGATTGCTTAAAAACATTATGTTTAAAGCGTCGTAAAATCGTTTTCTGGTATTTTCTACGGATTGTCTGAACTAAAAGGAGCATAAATGCTTCTGAAATGGGAGTTTAGTCACAAACTCGAATTCGAATAGCTTAAAGGTTCTCGTTGCTAAATGGTTGTCTGAATTAACTAACTTTTCTGTATAATCGTCAAACTGTGAAATAAGAATGAATTTGAATGAATGAAAATGAATGAATAAATTCAGAATTTTAGCTCGGAAAGTGGTTACTTCATTATCCTTTGCATTAAAGGGTCTTTCTACCCTCGAAAATGCCGTGACATGTCAAGTGTCTTGCTGAGAAAAATGCCGCAATTAGCATTATTCACGATGGAATTAACGTGTTCTGTCAACGAATTCAAAATATGCATACGACGCCTCTATGGCTATGTGAATGCTTTCCTCCTGTAGTTGATTTGCATTCCCTAACAATACGGATAATCAAGGAATTATTTGGTGTACAATATTTTACGAATGGTCCCGAAATAAACGAAATGAATTTTGTGAGTAAATGA